GAATAAGAATAAGAATAAGAATAAGAATAAGAATAAGAATAAGAATAAGAATAAGAATAAGAATAAGAATAAGAATAAGAATAAGAATAAGAATAGAATAGAATAGAATTATTCTATCCAGGATCATACTATTTAACTGGTAACCAAATCTGAGTAGATTATGGACTAGATTGTCCCTGTGGTCCTTCCCAACTCCACCATATTATGAAGTTTTTCTCCTCAAGTCAGGAAATTCAGCTCTTCAACTGGGCTATCCTGTGTCTTTCCATTTTAAAAATGGATTTTGTAATTCCTAAAAATAGCCTCAGTGAGTCTCAAATCTGAAAAAGTAACTTTATTGTAGTGGTCCTGAAGGATTTGTAGAATAGGAAATCCTGTAAAAAAGTTTAATGGTATGTTGTTTTGAATATGCTGAAAAATAATTAATGGGCTATGCAACTAAATTAGTTAATATATCATCTCTAACCTATAATAATGTTGACAGTAGTGATTCTGAGCTATAGGATGCTTGTCAGATCCCTAAAAGTGATACTGCCATTCAATTGGGAGGAGGGGGCGGGCCTTGGAGTCAATTTATTGACAGTGCCTGTGACAACCGATATTTTACAACTCGTTTCCTGGCACCGAAATGCCTGAGATCCCATCACCTTTTGGGGGAACGTTTATGATGGCCATCTGGGACATTACACTTTACTGTGTAATGGAAGATAGCCATGGGAAGGTATGTTTATTCGGTTCTCAGGGCAGATGATGAAGGAAACATCTTCACACCTGTGTATTGGCTAGAATCTGCATTCTAACAAATGGGAGGGGTCTCTACTGCTTCAATTCTACTTGCATTGTCTAAGGGAACTCAGATGTTGCTTTGACTTTAATGGCTTCTATTCTTCTTAATAAAAGGTTCCTTTTGAAATACTCTATTTCAAGACTCTTCACTTTCTTAAGTTAGGAGAGGTTACAATGTTCCTTTGTCTATATAGTTGAGCAGAATAAATCTCCCTCATTTCCTCCTCAGCTTTCTGATTCATCCCTCTACTGGGATTATCTACACTCAGCCGTGGGCCAACCTAGATGCAGAAATCAGCTCCAAGTACCATTTTTTCGTGAAGGCAGAAGATATAGAAGGAAAGCATAGTTTGGCCGAAGTCTTCATCACTGTCCTTGATGTCAATGATCATTCTCCGGAGTTCAGTGAGAACATTCAGGAAAAAACCATGATTATTGGATCCCCAGTAAAAGTTGAGGTGGGTCCAAATATTGTTGCTGTCTGAGATGTGATGGGTTGTGATAATAATAAGATGAAAAGCTAAATAATAGGGGCTGTGTGGGGCTTTGGGTTCCTCCTCGGAATCCGGTGGTTTGGAGAACAACATGGAAGTAACTTCTCTGCAACTCTTGAAAGCAGCAACATCTTTTCCTAGGATCACCATTTATCCATAATCCTGAGGAGAAAAAAATGAGATGACTTTCAAATGCACTTTTTTGGAAATGAATCCAAAGTGCTCTGCAGCTCAGCTAAATATTATCATATTTCCCAAAGGCGATATTATTTTTTAAACTACGGAATTAGCCGGATGAGAATGGAAGTCATTCTTTTCAATGAGTCATATCAGTGAGAGCCCAGGTCAAGTGTCACTTCACTCCTAAAAATACTTAAAAAGATAGTTTGCACTTTCGTATAGACGTGAATACATTGGAAAATACTTATGAAAGTGGAAAATACTAAGCATGAAGGTGGAAAGAAAAACAAAAGGCCATATCTAAAAAGGAGTGCAAAAAGATTTTTTTAAAAAAAATGCTTTCTAGAAAGGAATAAAGGACACAGCAGAGCATTGAGAAAGTTCTGCAACTCAACAGTGAAGAAATAGTTGAGAAATCTCTGTCTCTAGATCTGTCTGTCTGTCTGTCTGTCTGTCTGTCTATCTATCTAACTATCTATCTATCTATCTATCTATCTATCTATCTATCTATCTATCTATCTATCTATCTATCTATCTATCTATCTATCTA